AAAGGTCGGTAGAAATGCCTGGAGACCCGCTGCTAGGTCCCTCCTGGTGCCTGTATTAGCTTTTTTTTTCCGTGGGATGGGTTTCAAACCCAGTACCTCAAGCATGGTAGGCAAGCATTCTACAACTGACCTTTGACCATATGCTTCGAAAGGAGACTATGATAGTTCTAATCCTCTAAGCAGTATTTCTGGCCGGCCCTGTGGCCTCTATGTGAACTACCTTTTAAACCTCCCAACAAGAAGTTAAAAACTAAATTTAACAGCTTCTCCAGTATTTCACTGATATAAGGTGTTATCATCCAAGAAGCTCATGGAGCGCTGAGGCTTGACGGGATGACAGAGAAGGCCTGCCAGGTGGCTGGTACCTGCCCCTCTGCCACACCCTTCAGCAATCAGGGCTTTCGGTAAGGCCCTTCAAGGGGAATGCTCACACGTGAGGGAGAAGTCCCAGGGAAACCAAAGCACCAAGGAAGGGCAGACTTCTTATGTAAAATAAAGTACAGGCCCTGGGGACAGACAGACAGACATTCCAACCAGCTGTGTCACACCAGTGTGCCAGCTCAATGTAACTGCGGGGTTGCATGTTCAGGAAGCCAGATGGCTGAAAGAATCCTCTCAGGGAATTTTCTGAGGGCAGAGTAGCCGGATGGAGTCCACTGCTGTTGTCCTTACCCTGCAGCATCCAGGGCCAACTTCTGACACAGGAGCACTTGAGGCGCGCGCTCTCTCTCAACTCTGCCAGACCTAGCCAGGTTTTAGGAGTGTGTGTCCTGGACATTTTCCCTTGGCCCTATAGGCGGGTGCTACTGAACTGTATAGCTAGGCCCAGGGTGGGCCTTACCGCTCACTCTAGGCCTGCTTTTTCTCCTGGAGAAGGGTGTGAGGAACAACCAGGACCACTTCCAGAACAAACACCCCACCCATACATAGGCAGCCCCAGCACTGCAGGCTCAGTAGGGCCAGCACCAACCAACGGAGGGGAGGGCTGGATTGTTGGTCCCTGCTGACAGTGCGCACAGCACAAGGTTAGTAAGCCATCCTGCTCTCATTCCTTCGATCACTGCTTTTACCTAGACCTTGCTCAGCATGGGCTATAGCTTCAGGAATAACAATAATAGCTACCATTTGTTTCCTATTCTCTTCCAGCCACACTGGAAGCCTTTTCCAGAAGCCTTCCACTGAGCTCTCAAAGCCCCATAAAGGACCCTGCAGACTGCGCTTCCACAGGTAAGGCGTGCTTGGCTACGGGCAGGAGTCAGAGTTTGAGACCTGTTTGCTCATCCTGAGTCCTATGGTCTCTCCAGTTTTTCAACATGCTTGGTGCCCCTAGAGCTGAAGTTATGGTTGTGAGCACCATGTGGAATGGAGCCCAGAACTTCTGCAAGAGCAAGTGCTCTTAACTGCTAAGCATCTCTTCGGCACCTCGTTAATTCTTTGTAGTTGTTGTTTTTGTTTATTCATTTACTTTTTGTTTTTACATCCCAACCAAAGTTTTCTCTCCCTCCTTCCTCCCACTCCCATTTAATTTTTTTAAGATTGATTTATTTATTATGTATAGTATATAGTGTTCTGCCTGCCTTTATGCCTGCCTACCAGATCTCATTGTAGATGGTTGTGAGGCACCATGTGGTTGCTGGGAACTGAATTCAGGACCTCTGCAAGAGCCATCTCTCTGGCTCCCCCGCTCAATTTAATTCTTGAGATTTTATATATACCAGGCTGGTCCAAAATTATCATATAACCTAGGATGACCTTGAACTTCTGCTCTTCCTGTCTTTGCATCAGCCTTTCAACTGCTTTTGGTGGTGCTAGGGCTGGAACAGGGCCTTGCCAATGCTAGGAAAATGTATTACCATTGAGCTCCATCCATCCTTAGTTCAAGACTCATTTTTTTTTTTTTGATTTTTCGAGACAGGGTTTCTCCGTAGCTTTTGGTTCCTGTCCTGGAACTAGCTCTTGTAGACCAGGCTGGCCTCGAACTCACAGAGATCCGCCTGCCTCTGCCTCCCAAGTGCTGGGATTAAAGGCGTGCGCCACCACCGCCTGGCTTCAAGACTCACTTTTTTGTTTTTTTGAGACAGGGTTTCTCTGTGTAAGTCCTAGTTGTCCTGGAACTAGCGCTTGTAGACCAGGCTGGTCTCGAACTCAGAGATCCACCTGCCTCTACCTCCTGAGTGCTGGGATTAAAGGCATGCATCCTGGCCAAGACTCCTTCCTTCCTTTCTTTCTTTCTTTCTTTCTTTCTTTTTGTTTGTTTTTTCAAGACAAGGTTTTTCTGTAGCTTTGGTGTCTGTCCTAGAACTAGCTCTTGTAGATCAGGCTGGCTTCGACCTTACAGAGATTCACCTGCCTCTGCCTTCGGAGTGCCGGGATTGAAAGCGTACCCGCCAATTCCCGGCTTACTTTCATTAATTAATTAATTAATTAATCATTTTTGGCTTTTGGAGACAGGGTTTCTCTGTAGCTTTGGAGCCTGTCCTGGAACTAGCTCTTGTAGACCAGGCTGGCTTCAAACTCATAGAGATCCTCCTGCCTCTACCTCCCACATGTTGGAGATAGATTTCACTTTGTAGCCAAGGCTGCGCTGAACTCACTGTGTAGTGCAGACTTACCGCAGCCTGTGGTGATCCTCCCAAGTGCTGGATTTCAGGCTTCTTTCTTTAATCTTGTTGGTTTTGCAGGAAACGACCAAATTTTGTTTTGGTTCCTCCTCCTGACCCCAGGTAGTCATGAGGACACCAGCTAGGTCTTGGAATTGGGCAAGGTTTGCCATAATATAGGTCATTAGCCTATATTAAGTGTACCTCTGTGCTCCCAGATCCTCAGGATCCTGGGTCTGAGTTCTCCCTGGGAGCAAAATGAAGAAAAATACATTTTGGAGGCGAAGTTTCTTAGGGCCAAGTCTCCCCAGCTGGGTTGTTGGCCTTTTGTCCCTACAATTACACAGTGCCAGGTGTCCCACAAGAACTTGATATTATTTTTTTCTTTTCTGGTATCAGGGATTGGACCCAGAAACTACTGAGCTATACCCCCAGGTCCTCAATTAGCATTTTTCCCTAAATTAAGATTTATACCAGCCAGCCAGTTTAGTCTCAGGACTACAGTTAGCCTGGCTGAGATACCGCGCTGGAACTAGGCTAACAGAACAGAACAGCTGAATGACAGATGCAAGACGCCGGGAGGGGGCGCTTTGCAGCCCTTCGCCTCCGCCTTGTGTCGTTCCGCTAGAGGAAGGATCCAGAGAGTCGGCCCTTAACAGCCCCCTCCTGGAAGCTTTAGGTCCCAGAGCTGGCCTTCTCCGGGTCCATCTGCCAGCTAATGTTTAACCGGCAGCACTGCGACATTATCCACACATGAGAAATGAGGTTGGGGAAGCACCCTTATCCTTGCCGTCTGCTCCTATTGAACCGTCCTTCTTAAATCCCTTTCATGAACAGAAAGATCATAAGCACTTAGTATGCGTCTTCGTTCACAAATGTGACGAGCACCCATCGTGACTACATAATCGGTTAAGAGTACTGACTACGTGTCCATTTGTTCACTACGTTAGGAGCACCAATTACGTTTCTACCTGCGCACCAGATCAGGAGCGTGTGCCAAGAGCAGTGCCTGGTGATGAGGATGCCCTGTGATCAAGACCCACGTCTTGATGTTGGCTCTGGTGCAGACCGCGGCATCAAATGCCCGAGCGAAAACAGAATTCCAAACCGGAGTCAGTACTTCACCTACTGGGGATGCTGATCTGAAGTGCCTTTTTGTTTCCTGTGCTCAAGTCCTGCTTCGTATCAAGAGGGCTGTCTTTTTGAACCCAGATTTGTCACCAGACAGAAGACAGGTAAGAAGATACTAGGCGCGGCCTCAGGAATCGCCCAAAGAAAATACTAAAGAACGCAAGCCCGAACTTCCCAGGAAAAGGTGGAAAACAGCTTAGTTGCCGTGTGAAGCGTCATCCACTGACTTGCATCCACTTCGCAGTGACCAAATCATTGAACTTACTGATCCCAAATGCGGTGACCCCTGCGGCGCTCAGGCTGGGGGACACAGTTGTCCCGGCTGTTGTCACCAAGATACCGGAATCCTGCATTGGTTGCAGCCAGGCCTTGCGCTGCGCTTATTTCATCATGAGGGGAACTAAGGTTGAAGATAAGGCAAAGCTGGAAGTGTGGAGCGTGGCCTCGAACCTGTCACAATCAGAAAAAGCCTCTGCCCAAGCTTTCCTGGAACTGGGCTGGGCGGGGAAATCAGGGCAGTCTGAGAGAGGCATTCCTAGCGCCTTCCCGGCTGCCCAGGGCTCCGGGGCCCTGGCCAAGGTGACCCCACTGGAGGAGGCGAGGGTCCCCGCCCCTCTGCCGCAGCCGCCTCCTCCATCTTCCCGGTCCTTGGGGCTTTTCCTCCAGGCCGGCGCGCCCGCCCCTCTCCCAGGCTTCCCCAGGGGCGGGATATCTCGTCTCCCCCGCCCCCCCCCCCCCCCCCCCCCGTCTCCCCACCTCCCAGGCCACCTCCCGGCCGTGTCCTAGCGCTGCCCTCGGGCCGGGGGCGGGACCTCGGCGGCCGGGGGGGGGGGGTCGAGGAGGACCCGAGCCTCGGCCGCGGCAGGGCTCCCTCTCTTCTTCCCGGTATCCGCTCCCGCTGCTGTCCGCCCTTCCTCCCCGCCCCCGGCCCAGCCGGCCGCCCCCTCCCCCAGACGCGCACGCTCCGCCTGGCAGCTGGCGCCCCGGGCCTGGGGCCGCGGTGGCGAGAGGGGTTTGCAGGGAGGGTGGGAGCGAGTGAGCCGCGAGGGAGGGAGGCCGCCCCCCGCGCCCCTCCTCCTCGCCCTCCTCCACGGCCGACGGTCCCTCCTCCCGCCCCCTCCCTCCTCCTCTCTCCTCCCTCCCTCGCAAAGACATCCCCGCACGGCCCGGCCGCCGCGGCCACCTTCCCTGCCCCGAGCTGCAGATGTGGCGGAGCGGCCGGGCGCCGGGCGGCCGCGCCAGGGGAGCCCGCGCCCCGTGAGCCTCGCGCCCGGGCCCCCGCCCGCCCCGGCCCTCCCCCTCGCCTGCCCCCCGTTGTCCCCCGACCGCCGGAACCCTCAGCCGGAGCCCGTCAGCCCGGCCGCAGAGGTAGGAAGCCCCCGGGCGTCGCGCCGGGAGGACGCGGACCCAGCTGGGGTCTTACCTACCACGCGGGGCCGCGGGGCCTGAGGGTCGCCTCCCCTCGCGCGTCCACGCCTCGCCCCGGGCCATTGTGAGCCCTCGCTGAGGCCCCTGCGCTCTCTGGTTTGCGCGCTCCCTCCCTTGTTCGCTCCCTGGCTGGATCCTTCGATCTCCGTCTTTTCTCCTCCCTTCCCTCCTTCTGTCTGGAGGCCGAGCCGAACTGCGGCCCGGCCCGGGGCGGGCACAAACTTCAGTGGGGAAGTTGGGCGGTCTCGGTGGGGGTGCGCTGTGAGGTGAGAGGGGGCACCCGGAGCCTGGGCATGAAGTTGTAAAGGGCATCAGGCAGCCGCCTTTGCTCACCGGTGCGCCCAGGTTGTTTGGAAGGTGCCCTCCCTGTCTGGGGAAAGTCTTCTTGCTGCCCTTAGCAAGCCCTGGGAAAGGCAGGGAGTGGGGCGTCCCTTGTATCACCACTGGGAGCTGGAGAACTGTCTAGCGTCTGGTCCACTCCTGCAAGGTGGATAGTAGCAGGTGAGGAACCTGGCAGGATGGGGAGGGTGAGTGATTGTATCTTAAGGGTGGGACTGGAGGAGGGGGCTAGGCAGGTGCATTCCCCTCCAACCAGGAAGATTCCTGTGCCTCCCCGCAGGCCCCCTGGGATGGGCCTGGAGTCCGGGCTGGCACCTGGACGCCTTGGCACAGTGCCCTGCCCAGTAGGGTACTCAGGCCACAGCAGGGTAGCATGCTGCCTGTCTGCCTATCCTGGAGGGCCCGCCCAGCCCAGCCAGAGGGTGGCCGGGAAGCACTGGTTGCAGGGAGTTGCCCAGCCCTGCCCTGGGGCCTGGGAAGCTGGAAGGGATGCTGGGAGGAGCCCTGGGCCCCCAGCCATCACAGCACAAGATCTTGGCTCTACAGGGAATACTTGACACCAAGGGGGCAGCCAGGACAGCCAGTGGCCCTACCAGTGCCTGAGCTCCCATGGGTCTTCGTCTGGGCCAGGGTTAAGCCCTCAGCCTTGGTCCTCTGTGGCAGGTACCCTGCACAGCAGCCTCCCAGCTGTCCTGGCATCCTGGAGGGAAGGTGGGGCTGAACCAGAGCCTAGGGAGACAATTGATATCTCTGCTAGCTTTCTGAAGCCCCTAGGCTCGGGGAGTTTGACCACTTCAGCGTGCCCAACTCTCCCCAGGCTCCACTCTGGTGGCACAGTACCACAGCTGTGTCAGCCCAGCCCACACATCCCTCTCTAGTGACCTCAGAGCCCTCCCTCTCGCCTGCCTCCTTTTTTCTTTCCCGTGGGCTCAGGCTGGGCCTCACAGCTGGCCCTGGCCTGTAATGGGGGAGGGGTTGCACCTGGGGGAGTCTCCTAAGACACCCCTTGCTGAGCCCAGTCTAGCCCATTTCATAGCCTATTCCCAGCTCAGTACGACCCTGTGTGCTGCCGCCAGTCAGGCAGGAGGCAGTGCCAGGCTTTGGTTTTGTGGGTGGGGACCCCTTGGAAGCAGCCCTGTTTTTTTAGCTTTTTCCCCTCCCCCTTCTTTCCGGAGCTACCATTAGTGCTGACCCCCTGACCCCCTATGCCTGCCTGCCCTTCCCTGTCTGTGACCCCTGACCTTTGGTGTTAAATCCCTCCAGCTGGGGCTCTCCGTCCCCAGAGTGACCCTAGCCCTAGGCCCCCTGGGGCAACTCTCCCGCTCTTGGCTCTCTCTATGCAGGGACACCTGCCAACCCTCCCTCATAGATGGGGGGATGGGAAGCCAGACAATGAGTCACCCCACTTCCAGGCACTACTACTTTTGGGGTCAGTGGCTTTGGGGGGACTTGCTGGAGCCAGGACACAATCTGTGTGAAGGGTGAATGGGAAAAAGCTCCTGGCCAAAACACCCTGTTTTTGTGTCTTGGGTTCGAATCTTGGCACAACCACTACCTTTTGGGTGTTCTTTAGCCCGGCTCTTCCTCTTTCCAGGCCTCAGTTTCCTCATCTGTAAAACCAAGGGTCAGGCAAGGTGAGCTTTTCTGAGTCCTAACAGTAGGTTCGTCTGTCAGTGGGGGCAGGGAGGAAGGCTACGTCCAACAAAAGCTAACTCTCAATTATCCGTGGGTGGAGCCAGTATGAATAACTGGATGCCACAGACATCCCAAAACCTCATTTTAAACAATCGTGTAAACCTCGTCCCCACAAAGCTTTTGTTTCTAAAGAGCTCAGCTGCAAAAGGGTAGCCATAGCCATTTCTTCTGCGCCCTCTTTCCTTAGTGGGAATACCAGTGAGGGGCTAGAGGGCAAATTGGACACCAGGGCCCCTCCTTAGGGCCTGGAGAGAAGCTGGAGCTCACCTCTGCATCTCAGGCTCCCCTTCAAGGCTAGCCCAGCCTTGGCCCTGTGGAGTGGGAGGGTCCGCTGGCCACCTAAATTGTTCCAGGGTCTGTGCTGGCTCTGGTGTGGAGTGAAGAGTGTGTTTTTCCTCACGACATTTTCCCATGCACATTTCCGTCTCCCCAGCTGGATTCTCCTGGAATCTGAATTTCCCACTTAGGGGAGAGGGCGGTGCCAGTGCTGGGCAGGGTTTGGGGCTATCCCAGGATGAGGGAGGAGGGTAACAGCTGTAACTGGGGGACCAGATGTTGAGGCTGGGGCCTGCAGTTCTGCTTTTTGGGAGGCATTGGGGCTCTTTAGGAAAGAAGGAAGGCTGAGGGGGGTACGCTATGCTCCTGGCTGGATCCCCCATCTTCCTGTGCCTCTCTGTGGGTTCCTGCATCCCAGGGGAAAATGAGGTGGGCTCTTTACCTAAGTGAGAAAAATGGATCTCAAAGGACAGACCATCAATCAGGGCAGAGTGAGGGGCTAAACCTTTCCTAGGGCTGCCCCTAAATTCCTTCTCTGTTCGCTTATGGTTGTTATGTGGAAACCATCCTTACAAGATGCTGAGTGGGGAGGGCCCTTTCCCCTTTCAAGGATGATAGGGACCCTGTGGCTGATGTGGGTAGGTGCTAAGTGTGAGGGACACTCTCTTACCTGATACAAGGGTCTCTGGGGCAGAGCATTGGGGTTTCCACCCTCTGCTTAGAAGCCCCCTCCTTCAGGAGTTGTGCAGCATCCCCATACTGAATTAGAATCCATGCATGCATATGGGGACTCACCTCTCAGAGGACACCAGAACAGGTGACTGTCCCCGTTCCGGATGTGTGGACGGCAGCCTCAGCCGGCTTGTGGGACACATCTACTGACCCAGTGTGTTTTTGAGGTGGCTTCTCTGAGCCCTATCATAGTGAATTTTACTACAAGTGTGGCCAGGTTGGGGACTGGGCATTTTTAACAAGCACCTCCCCAGACCGAGCCATTGCTCGGATCTCAGGAACAAGACAGAGCCTGCTAGTACTAGTAGTTGGGGGTGTTTGCAGGGAAAAACCTGACTGTCTGCCCCACATCTCCCACCTTACCAGAGCCATCCTTCCTACTCTGGCTAATAAAACACTGCAGATGTCCCCAGGTGGGTCGGGTTGAGGGATGGGGTGCTGATCCCTCCTGAATATCTCTTGGAAAAATCCAACCAGCGTACATGGCTTCCACTGGCCAACTTGACAGAGACTGCATTCCACCTGCAATTGCCAAGTCTGTGACAGGCCCATTAATCCCAGTTTGGTAAGTGAGGGAACTGAGGCTCAGGATGGAAAAGGACCAGCAGGCATCTGCATCTATGGGAAAGGGCATGTCAGCCAGTTTCCTAGTCTGGATGTAGCTGGGGCCTTGTCCTCAGGCAGCTGGGACATCTTTCCCCTAGAGATGCCCCCTATCTCTCCATGGGAGATGAGTGACGGAGAGGAGAGGGTAGGCCTGGCTCTTCTCCCCATTTGTGCCCTGCTTGGGGGCGGAGGGGGAGCTCACAGGTCTTCCTAAAAAGGCCTCTAGAAACTTCCTTTATAGCCGGTTGGCCCCCTGGGAGTTCAGAGGTTCAACCTGAGTGACCCTTCTGGCACTGCAGCTGGGACACCTTCCTTTAGGCATCTCCAGCCTGGGCAGGCACAGTCCTTGACTGTGGCTGTTCACTGCCCATCCCCCCAGATAGGAGGGGGAGGCCCTAGTTAGCTGGTGGCTGGACTGGGAGGGGCATGAGGGTGGGAAAGAGTCTGCTTCAGGAGCAGGGGCTTCCCATCTGCTCCAGATGCCCCTGGTGGGGGATGGGCAAAGGGGCTGAGAATCTTCCAGTGCCAGGACTGTTGCGGTGAGGGAGCAGCAAGGGCCCCTCAAGTCCTTTGTCTTGGATGCGGGAGAGGCCAGGTAGTACCCAGCACAGGAAGGGGTCCGTGTGTGCCTTTACAGATGGCTAGGAGAGGGGACTCCCATCTAATAGCCCTTGGTGTCTTCCTCCAGTCATGGCCAGGAGTGGGTGGGAGCCCAGCAGAGGCTCCTGGAGGCTGCTGAGCCTTCTGAATCAGCCTGGGCTGGGAGCCTGTGGGAGAGCAGTCCCTGCCATCAGACAGGATCTCTATGGTTTCACCACGCTCCCCTTGATCCCAGCAATAAAAAGGGGAGAAACTGAGGCTCCGAGAGCTTTGGTTACTTGTCCTGTGGTATCTTGGTGTGGGGGGAGGACAGAAATCATCCCTTTATGCCTAACTTACCCACTCACTCTACAGAAGCCAGGGAAACCTTCAGACCCATCCTCACCCACAAGGAAATGCCCCAGAAGGGGCCTACCAGACCCAACCTGATCCAGCGTCTGGGGGGCCCAGGGTCAGTGGAACCGAGCAGGGTAAGGTATCCTGGCATCTGAGACTGACCGTGACCCATGAAATGCCACTTCAAGCTGGAAACTGCCCAGTTCCACTCGTACTTCCCAGGTCTGCTCCCAGGGTCCTCTGCATCTGACTGGCATATCCCAGCCTGCCTGAGCCAGTTCTCCCTTGAGCCACACTATTCTTCATTCAGAGCCCACACGGCCATTTACAGTGCCTCAGCCCCAACTGTGGTGCCC